ACGTAGACGCTCTTGACTCGTCTCTCTCCAGCTGACATGGCCTTGGCTCCGGGCCAATTCTCATGGCAAGCGAGTGATGTATACACTTCAGAGCCGTAGTTTCAGCCCAGCTGTCTGTCTTAGCTGGATTGTTATTATTCGCCCTCAGCGTGGCGGAGACGCAAGCCGGAGAGTTGCGGTTTCCTGTCTTCATGCGAGACAACCAGGACTTGTTGCTATTGGGATTACGATCTCCGGCCGAGCTGTGGCCAGCTGACAGCTACACCCGCGAGGAGCTTCACGTTGCCGGTGCTGCTAGATGACCTGGTTCCGACTGTTTTGCTGATTTCACATCAACTTGGGAACATATAAGATGCGTTCTATTCGCTTGATTTTGAGCATTCAGTCGCTCTGCGTTGAGCAATCTCATCCAAGACCTCGAATCCCAAACCACGTTGATCGAAGCCGGAGACGGATGAAAAGGAATGCTCGGGCATGCGCGTGAATATGGCTAGGCCCGTGTCACTGAAATTACCTGGAGTTGAAAGCGGGATTCGCAGTTGGTGACGACGTATCCTGCGGTGCACCCCGGTCATCATCGAATGAAAGTAGATGGAGAAGGCGAGACCGATGTTGGCGGAGGATACGTCTCGGGCCGCATGCAGATGAATATGTCGCCGCGCTGGAGTTGGTCGACGGCGATGCTGAAGGTCTGGACTGCTCAATCGTCCTGGATGACATGCGGTGATCCCTGAACGCATTTGCCGAAATGCCGCCGTGTTTTGCTCAGGCTGAGCAGCCGGCTTGTTCGCACTGCTCAGTTGGTGGCCTTTAAGTCCACGAGGTTTGGGTGTTGCGAATCTGAGGGATAACATGGACACCTGAGTCGGCACGAGTCCATCAAGGTGTCAGTCCCATTATGTCTTGCCGTGAAGCCATTGGGGAGGAAGAGGAGACAACAAGAGCATCACTGAATCCGGCGCCGGGCCCGAGTCCCCACTTCGCAGCCAGGCGCGCCCGGCCCTCGCAGCTACAGGAATCAAGCCACTTCAAGCCACTGCACGCAGCTTCAATCCCTCCGCCTCCACCTCTCATTGCATCTGCATCTGGACACAGAAAACTGACCAAGACATTAAAATCATTTCCATTCACCAGTGACTTCAACCCCCATGGAAAGGTTCATGGAGACTGGGCTGGGTATTGAAATTACTTGAACACGAAGAACATTCCGCCTCCAAGCGGAGCGTGCAATATCGGCACGTTTAGTATGGGACCGACAACCGTGAAGAAATTCAAACCATGGCATCCCTCTCCACAAGGCTCGTAGTGCGACCGGCCAGACGGTGAAGGCCCCAAACCCTGACAGACCATTTCGACCAGCGGGCTACGCCAACGCGTCGACTCGCTGTCTGGTCAGGATTGGCCAAGAGTCCTCCAGAGAAGATTGATGAGAGCAATTTGGACGACCAAGGGCTGATGACAGGATACTTGCTACCCGGGCAGTGTCTGCTACACGCATGTACCCCGTAAATCCTACCAAGATCCCCTTGATTTCCTATACTAAGGCGACAGAATTTCTTATCTGCTTGTTGTCGTCGCCCCTGTCGTTATCGTCGTCCCTGTCGTTATCGTCGTCCCTGTCGTTATCGTCGTCCCTGTCGTTATCGTCGTCCCTGTCGTTATCGTCGTCCCTGTCGTTATCGTCGTCCCTGTCGTCGTTTTCGCCCCTCTCGCTGTCATCAATATCGTTGTCGTCACTATTGTTGTCGTCGTCATCTATCATCAGACCGAAGTATTGAGGGCACTACTAATGAAGTCATAGGGGGGCCCTGCCCCCCGGTAGCAAAACTCGATGACAATGCAAAGAACGAATGAAGTGAAGCAGCAATCACAGGGACGAGCACATTTGAAAAGTCAATGATTGTTCCACGCTATTTATTACTCCGTCTGCTTGGCCAAAAGCATGCGCGAAAACCCGCCATGCGAGCTAGTCTCTACTTCTATTCCCTCCCCTCCCTTGCCTTTTCCTGATAGAATCCGTTCCCAAATGCGCCGACGTATTGCGCGTGCTTGTTACACGGTGCGTCCAGACGGGTGAACATGGGGGATACCGAGCGGATTCCCAGACGCTGCTATCCATCTGGGCGCCGTCAATGTTGCCGACCGGTGCTTAGTCACCGATTACCATATGGTAATCTGGTAATCTGGTAATTTCACCCACCCAGCCATGCCCAGCCCACTTGTTCATCCGGCTGGCCTTGCCAGCAAGATCTGATGCTTCCGTGAAGACAGGCAATCTAACCTTCTTCTCTACCAGGGCCTCCAACCGCTCGGCGGAGATTGACAGCTTCTGCTGAGCTGGCTGAGCCGATGAGGCACGACGAGCCAGCTTGGAGACCTCAGGCGCCGCCTCCTTCTTCACAACGATGGCGGCTTGCAAATTTGGGTAGTGTTTGCAGTAGGGCGGGTGGGGTATTCTTCTTCCCTTCTAAATTTTTCTTCGCAGTTTGCCGCCTGGAGGCGCACCTTGTTGACTGGGCGTGATGACATCTCCCCCCACGCCGACCATGCGACGCGGGAAGTTCAGGGTCAACGACCCAAGAGATGGTGTCGTGTGTTGAATACTTCGTGGAGAACAGCGGTAAGCCTTGCTCGTCCTTTCGGACCGGGACCCGTCACCTTCGGCTGTGCGCGTGTGCGGTCCCAATTCGAAAATGATCAGGTCTGAAAGATACGCCTAATGCTCGTTCTCGCCGCCAAATGCAGCCCATCACCCGCGGCTAGGTCTAATGTGCCGTCTTTAAGTCGAACATTATTAGGTCTGAAAGATATATCTGATGGTTGTTCTGGAACAGGGCCCGTCACCTGCGGTTGTATCTGAAGTTGCTGCCGTTGAATCAAATAGAGCTAGGTCTGAAAGATACGTCCTATGCTCTTTAAGGCTTGCTCTCGCTGCTAAACGTGAGTGGTTTGTCGCCTTGGTATAAGGTAGCCGTGTGGCCTGTATTTGGTTGTTAGACGAAGAAGAGGCAGTGGCATCTATGCTGCAACTACGTACCTATTGGGAGTTTTTTCATGGCACCTGTTGCATGGGAAATTGAAAGCTAAAGCTGAAATTTGCTGCCGAATAATGGTGGTGTGGGAGAGGGAGCTGCCCCCCGCAAGCGTACTGTCTTCGCTGAAGATGAAGTTCGACTTGGGGACCAGGTCAGCAGTAATCAGAGCGACGAAGCAGTCGTTTGAGGTGACGAGGTTGAGATTGGGAGCCCTGGGATTGCGGCTGCATGGATCCTGCGCGGAAAATGTCGTGTACGCGGTCTTCGCTGATGACGAAGATGGACTTGGGGACCAGGTCAGCGGTAATCAAAGCCTGAGTGCCAAAGTAGGCGTTTAATAATGTGCGAGGCAGGCTGCGGCTGGACCCTGCGAGGAAAAGGCAGCGCCCCCTTCAAATACCCCAAAGATTGACCATAGAGGTTTCTCTGCGAGCCATCCTGGCCCTCACATGTTTCCCCGTCAGGGTTATGCGGCAGTCAAAAGGGTGTGCCAGTAGGCGGCGACATGGAGTTGGTGGAACAAGAATGGATGGAAATCAGGCTGGATGGATGGGAGATGGATGGGGGGATGGATGGGAGGATGGAAAGGTAGACGTGGTTCGCAGCACCAGCAGATACCCAGGTTGAAGGGGCAGGTACGCTATGTCGCTGCCTTCCGCTGGCAGATGTGAACATGGTGTAGAGCAGTCACGAACACCATGTTGAGCAGTCACATGCAGAAATCGTAAGCGACATCGGGAAGGAGAGCAGTGGCTTGCGGGGATCACAAGCGATATTGGGCAGGAGAAGCAGGGCCCAGGGCAGGTCCCAATTCGAAGAAGTTGAACATGGGAAGGGAAGCATTCTAGGGTGCACATGCGTCCAACAGCAGCCCACCTTTTCCGGCCTGTGAAGCTTCCAAGAGGCGATCCGAAGTGGACCTTAGGAAGACCGACTGGACTTGGACGCTGCTTTCGCATGAAGGATCGGGCTTGGAATGATCCTCAGGCTTTCTCTGTGCAGCTGCAGCAAAGTCACGAAAAGATGGGCGTTGGTGATGAAGTTCGCTAAGACGAAAGGCGACGTGAAGTCTATGCACTATGTCCCTTACTTAGTGCCCCTAACAGTAACCATCAAGTGCTGGCCTCCGCCAGACCACCAAGGTAACAGCAAATTTTCGCCAGAACACTACGTCACTAGAGCGTTCTGGGATTCTTTTTCGCCAGACCACCAAGGTGCTGGTGTTTTGGCTTTTTTTCCGCCAGTGGGTACTTTCCGCTAGTGCACTACGGTCCCTCTGATTGGCCTACCCTTTTGATACCGACGGTATCCTAGCAGTGAATCGTCTCACTGGTTGGCCTGCCCTTACGATACCATCAGTATCCAAAGGCTGGCCAGTCACATCACTGGTGTTAGTGAACTAGACCACCAAGGTACCACATATATAGTGCACCCATCGCGTGGGAATTTGTGCCCCACCATCAGCATCCCACTGATGCAGAAATTCTGCCCAGGTGGCATGTTCCCCAGAAGTCCACCCTACCCACCCACGTCGACAACCCAGCACCTCAGACACCACCCAGCCAAGTGCTAGATTAAAAACCAATGACACGACGTCCTCTGTGGCAATGGCATTGTGGATGGTTAGGTGCGGTGCAAAGTTGGCACCAATCCTATTAGTGTCTGAGATTCCGAGGCCAGCCCGGATTCACACAAACGCTTGGAAAACCTCAAGGTTGGGAGAATACGAGTGGCAATCTTGGAATTCTGCAATTTCAATAGGGATATTCGAACGACAAACTACACGTCCAAGAGAAAGCAAGCTGTGAGCTCCTAACGAATGATTCGTGCGCCAACAGGAAAACTCCACCATCAAACGCGCTCGCTTGACAAACTGCGCGTCCAAGTGAAAGGCTGCAAACTTCTATCAGATGATTCCTGCGCCAAGACAAAAAAACGTCTAACACTGAACGCGCTCGCCTCACTTCATGCTGCAAGCGCGCCTCGAAGCTTCTTGTAGTCTTGATAGTTCCTGCTTGACAACTCGGCGTTGCCAAGTAGCGTCTCCGCGTCGATAACACCTTGCTCCGCCGTGACGACCACCTGACGCTGCTCAGCGACAGCATCCTCAGCCTCTCGGACCTTTTTATTTGCTGCATTAACCTCTATCTTTGCGCGGCATATGAAATTTTCGACGAAGAGCTGGTGTGCTTCTTTGGTCTTTTGCAACGCATCTCAGCATGAAGTGGTGTCGCTGTGCTTGGCACCTCGCTGGGTTATCTGAGAGGAGGCCTATAGGACATTTCCCGCCCACTTCGCCATCTGTTCGCAGCTTGACTTAGACTCCGCCTGCGACGTGCGTTCATTCCGCAGTGCCTTGGTTAGGGTCCCGAGAGCCTTTGCAGCTCCCACCGACCGTGCCCTCGCTGCTTCCAAGTCAACTCTAAACCTATGGATGTCCTTCTCGCTCTCTTGCTCCGATGGCGATGGTTCTTCCAAAGCTGCTATCTCTTTCATCAGAGCGTCCAACTTCGCGCGTCGGTCAAGAGATGGTGTAGTGCGAATGAAACTAGCTGAGTCGGGCTGATTCTTGTTAACTTTGAGTCTGCAGCGTTTCCTGAGGGGACTGCTTTCCTCGTCTCTGCTGCCGCTGTGTTGGGATCGCCTGCGTCGAAGACTGATCTTCAGAGTCGGTGTCATCGCCGCCCCAGATTCGGCATCTAATTCACGGTCTAAATATCCATTTGATACCGACTTCAGGCATGGATTCGGATTTGCAAACGTGTCGGAGTCACGTTGGGGAGGGCGAGGCACTGTGGCGGGCGATTGTGTCTGCGGAGGCGGGAGACTGTTGCTGACTTGTACAAGCCAATGAGGGACTTTGGAGTGGATCGGCGGCTTTGCTAAAGCTGTTCGGACAAGGATCTCGCGAGCGTGCTTTCCACTTTTGACATCGAGGTCCGCCAGGGTGAGGTTGCCCGCAAGGAGGTGTTGCATCCCCAGCAGAGCAAAAGCGCCGCAGCTAGTATCGTTATCCTGTTGGGGGCATCTCTGTCGCATCGTTAGCTGCGAAAACCGATAACAAACGACAAGCACTCACTGGTGTCGAAAAGGAAAAGTCAGGTCCTAGGACGTGTAGCGACAGCCAGGGAACAGCCGCCTCTTTGACATCTGGCGAGGCGCCTGACGACGAGATGGAGTCGTAGCTGCGGACGTAACGGTCGGCGAAGCAAATGTCGAGGAGAATCCAGTGCTGCAAGCGTCTTTGGTGAACCATAGTCACGATTCGGTCTTTGCGTCTGTTCTGGAGAGTTGACGGTAGACGTGCGGGAAGTCTACCTGCAGGTTGCAAGTAGAGAGGGTTAACAACAAGGATTCTCAGTTCCACGACCATTGAATTTAGTAGGAGGAGTTAGAGCACTTATATGCTGTCGTCAGTCAACCGATCCCTATTACTCAGTTGATTGACTGCTTTTGGGAGAGTCTTGAATGCGATGGGCAGATTTTCTAGTATTGGGATGTTAGCTTCCTCCGATGGATTTCCGACGAGGGAGTCGCTGACGACGTGGTTGGCTTCTGCCGCTGACTCGGCATCGTTGTCTTGGACAGCATCAGCGACATCCACGACGGCTTCTACGCTGTCCCCGTCGTTTCTGATGTTGGTGAAGGGGGGCTCATCGTCGTCGGTGTCAAAGTTGCTGAAATCGTCGTCGTAGTCGCGATCTTGCATCGAGCTGACGGTGGATGCGCGGATATACTCGTGATGGATCACGGAAACCTGGTTCGGCCCGTACAAAGGAGAAGAGTAGACTTGGCGCAACCGAGTTGTCGCTAAATTCATGCTTGTGCTTCCCAGACTCTCGTCGTCGCTGCTGTGGTCTGCTGCTGCTGCTGCTGCTGCATGCCGAGCGACCTCGTCGTTAGCCGTAGACTGGCGATTTTGATCTTGAGAAGCGGAAGAGATCGCCCCACCCCGCTCGCGGAGAAGTTGCACAGCGCGTTTCGAGACTGCTTTCGTCCACCGAATTGGCTGACCATGGCAAAGCACGGCGGCCTCGCGGAGGAGTCCGCCCTCGTCGTACCACGTGCGCACATCGATGTCGGCTTCGCGGCAAAGACGGGCCAGAGTGGCCATGTAACTGAGTGAATTGATTGATAGCTTGTGATCAGCCCGACCGACTTTTCCGGGGCGGATGCGGCTGAACAATGGCGGCGGCAGCCAGGCTCTGCCACCCCAGGCGGCATCTAGGGTCTCCTCGTAGCGGCGGGCCTTTCCCAAGTTCTGGGTCGGGGCCGCACTCTCGGGCCTGCTGCGGGCAACAGCGCGAGTCGCCCTTTTTATCAAAGGAAGGTTCGCGATAGTCTTCTCGGCAACTAGAGTGCGGTCAGGTGTTGTTATTGCTGCCAGCTGTTCGTTGACAAACTTGGACGTCTTACGACCGGGCCTGGGGTCTGTGTCGGTCACCTCAGCGGAAACTCTGTGGTATGGTAAATTTGGACTGGGCTCCTCTGCGGCGTTCAAGCTCGCCCTGGCGTCATCATCTGTGGCGATATCGGCGCTGTCTTTCGAGGATTCTGGCGATCCAGAGCCAATCGATGGGATTGTCTGTCGTGGTGGTGGTGGTCGAGGTCGAGGTCGCAGAGTTCGGAGCACCGTCCCCTCGGGAGCCATTCTGAAAGTCAAGCGTGATAGCGGTGAGGGTGATAGTCGAACGGGCCCGCATGGATAGACGATGAACGTGGAACGTTCGGAATAGAAAGAGTGATGTAATGGCACGTTGCACGCGAGGGCAGAAAAAGATGGTGATGGGTTGAAGGTTGAGATCACGAGCAGCAGTGGCGGAGAGACATTTCCCGTCAAATGTGATAGAGAAATGTGACGGGAAGGAGTGGAGGAGGTCTACTTCCGATTGCCGTGTCTTCCTGCCATCCACGTCCATCCACGGGCCTGTACATCTCCCTTCCGTCCTGCGCCTGCCATGGGAAACGGCGAGGGAAAGAGGAAAGAAGAAGGAAAGGGCACACGGCCAGCCACATAACGCGATTGGCCAGCCTTAGGATACCAGCGTTATCGTTAGGATACCGTTGTTATCATAAGGCTTGGCCAATTAGAGAGCTCTAGTGGCTGGGCCATCCATTCAGTGAGAGAAGCAACGCACTGAGTAGCTATACACCTAGCAGCCACGGTCTTGACCGATCACCTGCGCAACTGAGATTCACGGTATCCGCGTTCAATAGTATCGACGGAAGTCATCGGATGGATTGTAACAGAACGCAAAATCCGATCGGGAGAAATATCCTGCTTAACGTGCATTTTTCCCGACGAGCATGGATGGCGGTGCGTTTCTTATAGCGCGGGACAGCAACCCAAACTCAGTGCACCAACCGTCCTGGCCGGGTGTTGCCACTTCAGCAGGCAGTGAACACTTCGCTGGCAATCGGCATTGCGCGAGGCCAGCCGGACGAGTCCGCTCCCGTCACCGGCGTCCTGTCTGGTCTGAGTGCACCGTAGCCTGAGTGGAGCTACCCTGCCGGACGGGACGCCGGTGTGGGATGAATCTAACTTTCATCATCAGAGTTGCAGCGTGCGTTAGGGCAAGTTTGACATTGCAGTTACCGCCGTACGCTCGCAGGAGAAAAAAAGCTGTGGACATCCTTTGGATATGGAGGAATGAGACCTAGACGGTGGGCAATGAACTCGTCGGCAAGAACACAGGTGTTGGCTTCGATTTTAAGTAGGTCGATAGCGATTATCAGGACCTAAGCCTGGATGACGCGCCGCAGCGAGTTAGCAAGTATGAGGTCGCAGCTATTGCACCTCCTTGCGCGACGTGTCCACACAACTTCGCTTGTGACAATCAATCGCGCGCGTAGTCATTGCTTGTGCGCGAAGTCTTCAAATGACCTGCGCGTCCCTGCGCGACATAGTGAGTCTGCTTCTAGTGATTAGCGTGGGCGGCGACGCAACGACGGGGGTCCACTGATGCCACTGAGATGATTGGCTACCCTTACGATACCGTCGGTATCATAAGGATGGGCCAATCAGAGAGACGGTACGTACACCCTTAGGATACCGCCAGTATCACAAGGGCAATTAGAGACAATAAACTAGCAGCCGTCCAACGACGCCCGACAAACTTTCTAGCGGATGTTGGTGCCTGTGGGGGCGGTTCGGCTCGACGAGGATGAGACATTGTCGTCAATTATGCCCTTGTGACGCCTAGCAGGTTGGGCAAGGGGGGTCTCAAGAGATGTATTGGAGTTGTCGCTAGTCTCCGATACCTTCTTACCAGTTAGCACGGAGCCCCTGTAGCGAAATTTTCAAGCACATGGAAGCACAGTGTTTCTCTGAACCCCTTCACTTGCGGCAGTTGCAAGGCTGGGTCCACTGAGAAATCCGTCCAAGTGAACCTCCCGAACGGCGGTGCCATGGATTACAGGCGGCCTTGACTTTGGCTCCCGGCGGTGCGGTGCCGACACTGACTTCCTCAGGTCAGGGCACACAGTGCCACTGTGGTCTATGCAGTCCACTTGCACCGCAGCACCGCTCTCGCTAATACCCCACGGGACACAGTCCACACTGCAGTGTGCACGCTCGTTCATGCCCCACTAAATGGCTTCACCTGATTAGCCAGACGCAGCATTCCTGTGCGAAATTTCGCACGATCCCCATAATTCTCTCCAGTAGAAATGCCGGACAGCCTTCCTCCTCTAGCGCTTAGTAGTGTGGTAGCTTTTGACGAGTCTACGGACCCCTTGCGTGAGTTCCAGGGCATAAAGGCGTGGTAAGAAAACGCTGACAGATTCTGAGGTTGTTAGTGTGTTGGAGTGTTAGTAGATAGGTGTTGAGATTGAAAGAAGCGGCGGCAAACGGACAAGAGGGGCATGTCTTTGGTCAGCTTTCAGTACGTACCCTAGCCTGACCGTTTGCTCGACATCGACGCCGGCTGGTGCCTTGCTTTTAAAACTTAACTGTCTGCCTCATTGCAGTCCATGTCTCGCTTTTCCATCCACAGCAGGCCGTCCTTTCTAAACTCGCTCGTCACTGGCTAGACACCATCGCCATGTGTCTGACGAATAGATACAAGGCCCCGTATCACCCTGGCCTTCCCATTCCATGTGTGCATCTTGGCTGGTCAAATCCTGTGGACGGCCCCTTGCCAAGTTCAAGACAGATAAGCTGCTGCCGTTCCGGTTCGGCTCCGACTGCTCGCGGGCCATGTAGCAGCGCATTGTGCGGTACTCTCTTCAACCCGACCAGGTCCGGACCAAGGCTGAGAGACCCATGTTCAATTCAACGTCAATTTTGACACAAGTGCGACGTGATACTGATATGGACGCACAATGATCCCCAATTACCAACTCTGCGGTGAGGCAGGAGATGGGAAAGAACACGCATCACTTCTGTCCTCTCGGAGAACTAGGATCTGCGTCTGAACGCGGCATATTAATACCAGGTCCAACAAGCAGATCGCACGGGCGGCAGGGGCCAAGGGCCAAGAAGGGCATAGTCTCAGCCATATGGGCCCAAATACGCTTCTTCTAAAGTTTACATCTCTGCTGACCAGATAGCCTGTTCCAGGCAGAAGAGATGAGGCGGTTGATAAACCCTGCACACTGCGAAAGCTTTCCATTTATCTCTCCTTCCTAGTCACTGATCTTCGTAGACATATCCATGACTTTGATATCATTAAATTTGCTCCGATCGTGGTATGCTAGCACGAAGTTCGGTATCTGTATAACCCATATACGAGGGAGCTCCTCGCCCAGAAAACCGCGCCTTTTGCATATTTTACAACTTGTCTTGAGATCGGAAACCGCCGACTGAGGCCCAGAGTCTAGTCGCAAGCAACTTTCAGTAGAAGAGTTGAAAACGTCAGGCCACGGTAGGAGATGGCAGAGGTTTCTCCAGTTTCATTCTCTTTGGTGGTGATTCGAGTGATATGGGTAGCATTGTGGCGATCGCGTGCGTGTCGCATGTGAGAAAGAGTATAGATTGGAGATTTCAATCATAATCATTGCCTAGCTAGTCAGTAAACATACAACTCACAACATCTCATGACGTCCATCCAGTATATAACAGTCTACAATTCATACTGCTAATTACTTGATCTCAGCAAGGATTTCATCACAATCCTCGTTCACAAGGTTCTTATCAATCTCTTAATGATTTGCAGGCCTCTGCCTTCTCAGTTCGTCCGGCTAAGCCTCTTGCAACACCTCATCAATAGGCAGAGCAGGCTTAAGTTTGCACGAATGAGCAGCAGATCACTTAATGTTATTATCTTCTGCGGAGATTCATAACAAGACAGCCCTAGAAATATCATAGAAACGATCAATGCGGAGAAAAGGGGCAGGGGACGACAACAGAGAATCAAAACTCCCTATTCTATCGAGGGCGTGGATTTGCCGGTGTTGACAGAGAGGCCTAGATCGATCTTTCAAAGTTTAGACCATACAGGATATCATAGAAGCATCATTGCGGACACTACTCGTCAGGTAAGAGGCATTGAATATTGCTGCCGGAAATAGGCCCTCACCATTATCAGACCCAAGGAGTAGGGTTTTAAGCTGGAATATATCGGAGTAAGGCATTGCCACATCGTACAACGGCGACTCAGGGGTGTACGGCGGAGATAGCTTCATATCATCTTGTGTGGAAGCAATGCCCAGCTCAGGAGTCAGCACATACTCCGTCCGAAAGTGTCCGAGCTGATGGAGTGTACGCGAAGACGAGACAATCCCGTCTGGAATACGGAGACTTTGGACGGAAGTGAATCCTCGCAGACCAAGATAAGATGTGAGGTTGAAAGGGAGAAGAAGGACGAGAAGGAGTCGGGTTGGTGTAGAAGAGTGCTTTTAAGTCTGCCATTGAGAGCACGCACGGGAGCAGGGGTAAGTAACTCCCCGAGGGAAATGTCTTGTCTCTGGGTTTCCAGAAAGAGCAGAATACCGGACGCCACACCGCAGTCACCGATGAGATGATGTAGGAGCAAATAGAGGGAGCTGCATCCTGGCCAGTTCTTGGAAAGCCAATGGTCTTCACACTCCCACTCTACATGCAGACTACTAGCGACAGCTTTTACGTCCCTCTCTTGCCAAGACTCCGTCGCAAAATGCGTTCATCACACATCCAGGCGGCTGGCGAGCAGGCATCTCATAAGTTAGGCTTGTGCTTCAGGGATTCGAAACGCGAATTCGATCAAAATCTGCTCGGTCGGCTTGGCTGGCGGAGTTTTGACTCGGCTGCAAGCTCTAATGCCTGCAATCACTTCCAGCATCGAAGCCAAAGACCCGCTGCCGCCGAGCCAACAAGATGTAAGATAGCCTATCACATTGCTTTGAGTTGGTGACTAATAACACCTGCGAGAGGCCCCGGTTTCGAAGCCCGATTAGGTCCGTTTTGAGAGTTTCTCAGCCAGAGGCGAAGGAGTTCGACAAGGTACGTCAATACGCAAACGGCGGCATGGTAGGGACGACCAGGAAGAGGACGACGACCGAACTAATTAGTCAATGCTGGAGCGATGGTGTGGGAGATGGGGATACTTCCATCCTTCAAAATTACGTCTCGTCATTTCCTTTCCTGAATTGATTTTCGCGGTCTGAAGGAACGGATATGCTGAGCGGCAGTCTCTAGTGCAATTGCGGCCGTGGGGACCCTTCGTGCGGGAC